CCGTTTCTAAACTGAATATGTGTGAACAGGATAAGATCCAGAGCTAATCTTGTCCTGAACCTGTCGTAAACCTGACAAGAACAACTATTGTATCATTTAGCTGTGAAAACTGAGCTTCAATCCGCATCCCAAGGAAATTTTCCTCTATTGTTTGGATCTAGTATGGGCTGTTAGAGTTTACCTCTTTGCCATATCTTCTTTCAGATTCACTGACTCTCTCTTTGTCATTCCAGAGGGCCTCCTTGTAAGGGTCAACCTGCTTCTCACCTCACTATTTCTATTTCTGGGAGACTTGAGCAGCCTATAATTCAATATATTACTGTAGCCTAAGATCGTTTCCACCTTTTCTTCTTAAGGAATTTCTACTATATCAGTTAGTGCCTCTCAGGCATTTTATACTTTTCACCAATTTGCAAAGCTGATGCCTGGTCTTTTATTCACACGTTTACTAAAACAGGCCATAGGTGGATCAAAATTTGGACCAGCCACATTTCAATCCATGTATGGCTGTTTCTATTGGACAGAAGGCTATCATTAGATTGGGAGGGTTTAACCCCTATTAGTTATGTTCCCCTCATCTGTGTACCATTGGGAAGATTTCCTTTCACTTCCTCTCCCATAGACAAAATAGTAAGTGAGAGGAAATCCCTCCAAAGTGAGCCCCGGGTTGTCACAAGAGTCACTCGAACTAGTGTCCACATTGTACGATTTCTCTTCTATTACTGTTCTGTGGACAACCCAAAATGTGGAATTTTCTTTTACTTTCACTTTCAATAATAATGGTAAACAGGACAATTAAATAAGGTGAATCTACTGAACAGGGGCACAGACAGCAGGAAAAAACCTGAGAGGGGTTCTATTCTTTCTCCACTCTATCCAAATTAAAAAAAAAAATGTCTTCCTTTTAGTTAGACTTTTTATTAAAGATTAAGAAAACAGGATTTTTTATTTACTTTAAAATTTTTTTTTTGGAGTTTATTGCGGGGCACAGGTCCCACCCTTCAAGTTTTATGTCCTTGTGCTTTAGCACAATTTAAAGTATGATGTGAGTAGGAGAAGTTAGTAGGGAGGGACTGGTTCATTATAATTAGCTGGTGTGCTCTCAGTGTTCCAATGGGAAAAGCTGCAGGGTCTGTATCCATTTAGAATTATTTAGCCTTTGGGGAATATCTCACCAAAACTGAATTTGCAAAACAAAAGTTGCATAGAGTGCTTATCCAAGAGCCAATCACACAAGCAGGAAATTACATTTATGGGAGTGTACCTCTATGCCTCCAAGGTGCCATATTGCATTGAATTTTACAGAAAATTCCAGCGATTGCAAACTAAAAAGCATTAATTGCATCAAATTGCTACATGGCTTGTATAGCAATTGTATATGCTATATTATTTTTTCATTTGCTAATTTTTTTTTGGGGGGGGGGGCATTACCCTTTAATAAACTCAATTATGTGATTTTTTTTCAATAAGTAAAAAACTGTTTTAGACTGCAGTTTTTAATTTTATAGAATTGAGATCAGTGAATTGCCACCCACCCAGACTATCCAATGAGATGGAATATGCTGGTTGTTGCATCTTAAATAGCACAGGTAGGATTTTGGTCATCAAAATCATTAAACTGAGTTATAGTTGATGAATCCAAAAGTAAGAGTTCCTTCTTTTCTGGTGAAGAGGCCAAACAAAGATGCTTTATGGCTAGCAGAAGCAGTATCCCCATAAAAAGATCCAAATTATTAGTACTTGCATATATTCTGCAATGCAGACATGTTTGGAGTCCAACATTTTGTTTCAGTGCAACCATGTACTGGCAGAATTGTTTAATTGTGCACTGCATGAAATTAAAGTTAATACATTTTTCAGAATCAAGGGATGAAATGCACACATTTGTCTCAGAGATCAAGCTTTGGGATGCAGGCATACAGACTAGCGTCAAGTGAGAACATGCTTTGGAGGTAAAACTTTGGCCTTCCTGCAAAACCATACTATTAACATCTTATGTATATTCTAAATTAAATCGGTTGTAACATTTTTTACAATCAAGATTAAAGTTTTATGCTCTGCTGCTCTGTGCAATGGTATTGCACAAAGGGGCCCCTTACCTCTTCTTCTAGGGGTTCCCCTCCAGTGTTCTCCACTCCTCTTCTGCATGTGCCCTCATAGCAAGTTGCGTGCTATAGGAGCACATGTGCAGGCACACTTCCGAATGCACTTTGACTTTAGAACTACTTTAAGTCAGCCCTAACTGGATCATGACAGACTTGTACTTGTGATTTTCAACATGTTTATAATAAGATGATCAAGGCCTACTCACTCATGGCTGGATCATGACACATGAGAATGCCAAAACTAATCTGGATACTTGATTAAACACTTGATCTGTATGGTTAGCTCAGATACTTTTTAGACTGACAGATTCACATTAAAGTAGTTCTAAACTCAAAAGGTTTTTATTTACCATAATGCATTCTCTGCATTAAAATACCCCCCCCCCCCCCAATACTTGTTCTAAATACTTACAAGAGTCCTGTTACCGATCCAGTGCTGTCCCAGCTGTAAACAAATTATATATATTGTGATGAAGCGCTCAACTTATATAGTGTATAAATACCTTTTTAGATCAAAATTATTATGAAATCAGCAAAATAAATAAATACAAAACTAGTGCAAAATTCCCACACACAAATTATAAGCCCCCTAGTGGTAAACCGTGATAATTAACTAATAACACTTTATCTGTGCAAAGTGATAAACATATCTAATTGCATCAATAAAACAATACAAAAACTTGTGATGCCACACTGTGTAAAATAATAGTGTTCAATACACAGTGATTATAACTTCACTCCATGCTGTAATTGTGCTCTTCGTGATATTCTGATGTGACTCCCCTGGATTTAGCCAAAATGCCCCCTCACCTTCCACATTCGACCCTTGCGGGTCACAAAGCTTTAAATTTATAATATCTCTGCCAGATCCTCCACTGACTCCACCGACTCAATTGAAATCCTCCTCCAAGCAATGGATTCCTCTCAAATCACCTTCCTCACAATATGGACTCAAACACAGGGCGTATATGCAAGACAAAGACAGACCTCCATAGTGCAATACTGTTTTAATGCACTTAAAATAGAAATGAATAACACTCACATATCCTCCAACAGAGAAAAACAGTTTCCCATGTTGCATGGGTATATTCAGGTGTACAAAGATGGCGTCCGAACCCGGAACCGGAAGTACGTCACCCCTTTAACCGGAGATGCGTCGACGCGTTGCGCCATGATCACGTGGCTTCTTCAGGATCCTGAAGAAGCCACGTGATCGTGGCGCAACGCGTCGACGCATTTCCTGTTAAAGGGGTGACGTACTTCCGGTTCCGGGTTCGGACGCCATCTTTGTACACCTGAATATACCCATAGCACATGGGAAACTGTTTTTCTCTATTGGAGGATATGTGAGTGTTATTCATTTCTATTTTAAGTGCATTAAAACAGTATTGCACTATGGAGGTCTGTCTTTGTCTTGCATATACGCCCTGTGTTTGAGTCCATATTGTGAGGAAGGTGATTTGAGAGGAATCCATTGCTTGGAGGAGGATTTCAATTGAGTCGGTGGAGTCAGTGGAGGATCTGGCAGAGATATTATAAATTTAAAGCTTTGTGACCCGCAAGGGTCGAATGTGGAAGGTGAGAGGGGCATTTTGGCTAAATCCAGGGGAGTCACATCAGAATATCACGAAGAGCACAATTACAGCATGGAGTGAAGTTATAATCACTGTGTATTGAACACTATTATTTTACACAGTGTGGCATCACAAGTTTTTGTATTGTTTTATTGATGCAATTAGATATGTTTATCACTTTGCACAGATAAAGTGTTATTAGTTAATTATCACGGTTTACCACTAGGGGGCTTATAATTTGTGTGTGGGAATTTTGCACTAGTTTTGTATTTATTTATTTTGTGATTTCATAATAATTTTGATCTAAAAAGGTATTTATACACTATATAAGTTGAGCGCTTCATCACAATATATATAATTTGTTTGCACATATCTTGAGGTATAAAGAATAGGTGATAGCAGCTAACTTTAGGGAATAGTTCTGTGGAGCGCAGGGGGATCCTTTCTATATTTATTTCTGTCCCAGCTGTAGCACCACTCTCTTTCTGTTCCCCTTTCTTCCTCATCTCACAGGAGGGAGCCTCGAGGTGTGGCTTGCCTGTGCTGTGTGTGTCTGTGTCACGGAGTGACTTGGGCTCCTAGAGGGGCCTAGAGGCCAGTTTACTTCCCACGACTATGGATCCACTAAGGAGACCCCCCTCTTGGGGTTACAAGGAACCTTTTCCCTAAGGGGGTTTTATCATTTCTCTGGGTGCCTGGTTGGCTGTGAATTATACCAGCTACACACTTTCCATGCAATGAGTCCTGGAGGGACTGATTCTGGGACCCCTTTACATACTGTGCACAGTGGTACTATTATCCTGAAGCAATATGTTATGTGCAGGGAATGAATTGCTTTATATGTGGGGTTAAGAAACTTTATTTTCTGTTACAGGTTTCATGCCATCAACTATTGTTTACTGTCATTAGGTTTAGGTGATAAGCTCTCACTTACCATATGTTTTGCTCCATAAGATGTACCTGACCATAAGACGCAGCTAGATTTTAGAGGAGGAAAACAAGAAAAAAAAATATTCTGAAACAATGGACTGCAGACATAGTACAAGAAATGACCAGAGACTGCAGACATAGTACAGAAGATGACCAGAGACTGCAGACATAGTACAAGAGATGACCAGAGATTGCGGACATAGTACAGGAGATGACCAGAGACTGCAGACACAGTACAGGAGATGACCAGAGACTGCGGACACAGTACAGGAGATGACCAGAGACTGCGGACATAGTACAGGAGATGACCAGAGACTGCGGACATAGAACAGGAGATGACCAGAGACTGCGGACATAGTACAGGAGATGACCAGGGACTGCGGACATAGTACAGGAGATGACCAGAGACTGCGGACATAGTACAGGAGATGACCAGAGACTGCGGACACAGTACAGGAGATGACCAGAAACTGTGGACATAGCACAGGAGATGACTAGAGACTGCGGACATAGTACAGGAGATGACCAGAGACTACAGACGTAGTACAGGAGATGACCAGAGACTGCAAACATAGTACAGGAGATGACCAGGGACTGCGGACATAGTACAGGAGATGACCAGAGACTGCGGACACAGTACAGGAGATGACCAGAGACTGCAGACACAGTACAGGAGATGACCAGAGACTACACGTAGTACAGGAGATGACAGAGACTACAGGACGTAGTACAGGAGATGACCAGAGACTGCGGACATAGTACAGGAGATGACCAGAGACTGCGGACATAGTACAGGAGATGACCAGAGACTGAGACTGCGGACAAAGTACAGGAGATGACCAGAGACTGCGAACATACTACAGATGACCAGAGACTGTGGACACAGTACAGGAGATGACCAGAGACTGCGGACACAGTACAGGTGACCAGAGACTGAGGACATAGTACAGGAGATGACCAGAGACTGCAGACCTTTGGGGAGCAGAATTTGACAGGTACTCGCTCCCACTTCCATGGACATGTCCTCCCTGTAGTCTTGTGGGACATGTGACAGGTCCCAGAAGACTGCAGGTGGCCATTCACAAAGAGCAGCACTTCTCACGCATACGCAGTGGGCACCTGGCTGTGAAGTCGCAAGCTGTCACAGCCGGGTGCCCCCACTGAAGATTCCGGCGCCGGGGAGAGAAGACGGCCAGTGAAAGCAGGTCCTTCTGCACAGTAGGCTGGCCCGGTATTCTAACAAGGCGGCGGCGGCCCACTCCATATTCACTCCATAAGATGCACAGACATTTCCCCCCGTTTTTTTGGGGGGAAAAAGTGCGTCTTATGGAGCAAAAAATATGGTAGTTTGATCCCCTCCAGAGTCTAGACTGACCAGGTTCAGGGAAAGAATCCATTGTTTTCTTGTGTTGGATTGTTGATTTGTTTATGTAGTCTAATTTTCTCCTGGAACTTGTAATGTGTGTCATACCCATCTAATGGGAATGTTTTTGTGTATAAATGCTGTGCTGTTTGTTAATAAAGTCAGCTTTGCTTTACTCCAACATTGGTTCTGTCTGATGCTTGGGGTAAATTTGCTATATTCTGATTTCAAAGAGGAGGATGCTGTAGTTTGGCGGAGATACCTAGTCAAAGTGTCAGGCAGTCTGTCACAATTTAGATGCACACAGTACAGTTTGAGAGCAAGCCCACATGGGTGGCTCCATAGCACATCTTGCTAAGGGGGCACTCAGAAGAAGGAGCAGAGAGAGTGGCGAGGGACTTCCAGAAGATGAGGTAAAGGACCACTCTGTGGAATACTGTTGCAAAGAGCCGTTAAGTATGACCTCTTGTTTATTTTAATTAAAAAAATAGCCTTTAGCATTACTTTGGGAACTAAATGTATTTCCCTGCTCCTGTCCTTCACCTGCCATTTTTGCTTCAGTACAAACTTGTTATCCAAGGATAAGTATGCAGCTAGTGAATTTTCATGATTCCTGATGTGCACAAACCTAAAGGTCACTGACTGGCCATGTAGTGGAATAAGGATTATAATGTGGTATGTAGTATTGAAATTATAGAATTCTGCTGGTTTAAGGATAATGTATATAAATTTTATAAGGGGTGAGTCATGGAATCAAGTTTGGGTAGTTAAGTCCATTGCAGGCACCTCCTTATTGTTCCATTTGTTCCTCATTTCATCATGTTCATTTGATTAGCTGTTGAGTCACGACTGTATTAGTTGGCAGTCCCCATTTCTATGAACTTCTTCAGATAATATGGCAGCCAACTTTCTTTTCTTACCAGCGTCTGTTCTGAAAAAAACTACTTGAAAGCGGGAAACTGGGAGGCTAACCACTTGTTATGATGTTTTCCCAGAAAGATCTGTAGGAGGTTAGCAGTGTAAAACATGTAATTATGTGATGCTAATCTTAGGGGGAGTGCTCTGAAATTCAAACACACAATATTCTGCGATTGTTTAATTGCCTAAGTAACTGACGGCTTGGATTATACTGTTCTAGAGGACTGTGCTAGACATATGAGCAAACTGTTGAAATAGTTTGACTTCAACAGTTAAAGTATTTTTATTTATAGGCTGTTACCAGACATATGCATTATAATGATATATATATATAATTTTTTTATGTAAGGTTTTGACATGCATGAAGGGTCTGATGACTTTAATGGATGCACATTACGCATGTTTTACATACATATGTGCTTCAAGATGACAATTCCTTTCCTTGACAAAACACAATTAAAATGCAATGAAGCATCCGATTATCCAACAATAATACACACCGTTGGGTGTAAAAAGGGCTATAACACGAAAAACTTTAAGCCCTGGTTCACACTGGATGCGACTTGGCATGCGATTTGCATGTCCTGTGGCTTGCAATTGCATGCCAAGTTGCACCCTATTGGCTGCAATTGGAGCGGTTATATCAGTGCGATTCTGACTTGGTCAGAGCCGCACCGATTTCTAAAGTAGTACATGCACTACTTTTGGTGCGATTTGCATAGACATCTGTATCAGATGTCTTGCAAATTGCACCTGAAGTCAGTGGGTCCCCCCATCTTTGAAATCACGTGACTTCACTGTAAGTTGCACGATTTAAAAGTTGGGCTTGATGTGAGGGTAAGGCAATCTTCACACCTAAGCATTGCTGTAACCAGGGCCGATGCTAGACTCTTTTGCACCCTAGGCAAGATCAGCTACTTGTGCCCCCCCCCCCTAAAAAAATAAATTAATAAACATTTTAACAAACAGAAAATATTAAATCAACAAAACATGAAACTGCTACATTTCATTTTTTTTTTTTAAAAAAGTGCCATAAGATGCCACCAGCACCAATATTAAAGACATCAGTGTCACAGATGGAGTGTATCTGTGGCTGGCAGTGGCAGTTGCAGTGAGTGCAGGATGATGGATCCACACTCTGACAGATCCTAGGCTGGAATTACTCAGGCAATGGGGGAGATAAAATGCTGTGACAGCAAACAGCCCAGCCCACACACAGAGAGAACACCTGAGCTGAGCGATTCCACACAGTGACAGATTCGATACAATACACCACCACCAACACTTACACAGATCGGCAGATCCAGCATGCACTAGAAGAGCAGGCTTTGGGATCGTGATGATATCATCACTCACTGACACATTGCACAAGTGATGGATGGCTGGCCGGCTGGGTCACACTCACATAGATGTGAGACATCAGAGTCAAACATTACCTTACTCCGCAGGCGCAGCTCCACCTCTGCTGATGAATGGGAAGAGAAGGGCTGGAACTCCACAGCGATAATCAGCTTCCAGCCAGCTTGCAGTAAGGGACTGGGTCTGAGAGGAACTCTAGAAGGAGTGGCAGCTCAGCTGCTACACTGGCTCCAGACACCCGGCATTTTCCTCTGTCCTTTCTTCCTCCCCTCTGCTGCCCCTCCCCTCAGCTGGAGGATCATTCATGATGTGGCGGCATCCCAAACAGACTGTGCTGAGCTCAGGCATCCCTAGGTGGCAGTGCGCCCTAGGCGGCTGCCTACTTTGCCTAGTGGAAGCACCGGCCCTTTCTGTAAGATTCAATCAGTGGTACTGTATGTTATACTACTATCAATTTTAATTGACAGTCTAATGCATCTCGCAAACACACATGCATTGCAATACATTACAAAATGGTGCCCCGATGTATCTTGCAAACATTCTGCCATTGCAATTTGAAAAAAAAAGAAAAAAAAAAAAAAGACATCCAGTTTTAGTTTTGCTGTTGTGCAGTTGGGGCCCATTTCAATTAAGAGGGGCTACCTTAACACATCACATGCTAAAGAATAAGGCCTCTTGCACACAGACATACTTATTCCTATGTGAGGGCCATGTTTGCCTGCATGGGGATGCACAGGGGGTCCCAGCGGCTGCTCCCAATTTGACACCTTGCGGGTGCATGTCCTGAACAGAGGCAATGTGCATTCGAAACATGCACCTGCATCCACACAGATGTCAAACTGGGAGCAGCAGCTGCATCTATACAGCAACTGTGTCCCAATTGATATAAATGGAACTGTCTGCTTACGGATGCACAGAACACCTATGCATCTCCATTCAGACAAATATGGCCTTTACACAGGTGTACGTTTATTGTGAACAAGGACTAAATTCACTTTTATCAGCAAAAAACAATCCCCTCTGGGTGATCAATGTACATTGTAGGGAGTTTAACAAACTTTGTAGCTGATTCCTACCTATTGTTGCTGTGAAGAAATATCTGTTTGTTCCACCAGACATACTCATTCAGAATGGAAGTGACTGGCTTATTATAATCAGCTCGTTCACTTTCTGTATTCTAATGGGGAAGCTGCAGTGACTACATATTTTAGAAGGTACTAAGACTTAGGGAGTATCTCACCAAAACTTTAGCTGGCCATGCACATATCAGTTCTTTAACCACTTTCCTACAGGGCACTTTTACCCCCCTTCGTGCCCAGGCCAATTTTCAGCTTTCAGCACTGTTGCAGTTTGAATGACAATTGCGCGGTCAGTCAACATTTTACCCATATGACATTTTTATAATTTTTTTCACACAAATAGAGCTTTCTTTTGGTGGTATTTATTCACCGCTAGGTGTTTTATTTTTTGCACTATAAACAAAAAAAGACCAAAAAATTTGACTGCACTGATGGGCATGATGGGCACTGATTAGGTGGCACGGATAGGCAACACTGATGGGCACTAATAGGCTGCACTGATGAGGTGGCACTGATGATGCTGCACTGATATGCAGCAATCATAGGCACTGATAGGCGGCACTGATGGGCACTGATAGATGACACTAATGGGCAGCGTTGACTGGCAGCACTGACTGGTGGCACTGCTGGGCAGCACTGATGAATGGCACCGATGGGGGGCACTTCTGGGCACTGGTGGGTGGCACTGCTGGGCCCTGATCATCAGTGCCCTGATGATCAGTGCCGATCTGCTCTGTGACAGTTGCAGGTTATTGGCAATACTTTCTTCATGCTGTGACAGCGTGAGGAAAGTGCTGCCAATATCCGACAACTGTATTTACTCGGTGATCTGCTCTGTCATTAGACACAGCTGATCACGTGGTAAAAGGCCGCTGTGATTGGCCGTTTACCTCATTATGTGATCAGCTGTGTTCGTAGGACACAGTGATCACAGAGATCGCCGGGTGCGCGACGCTGGGGGCATGCGGGAGAGCGCGTTCTGGGAGTACGTCATATGACGCCCTCCCAGTACTGGACAACCGTGCTGTAGCCATCATTCGGCCATAGCATGGATGGCAAGTGGTTAATCAGGCAGCAGGCTGGTCGAAAAAATCTGAACAGATTCTTCCATCCACAATTGAGATTGTCAGCTTTGTCATTGTCTCCTGACCAATACAGGCAGTCCCATACATTCAACTTACATACAATCTATACTTACAAATGGAGGGAGACAACAGGAAGTGAGAGGAAAGCTACCCCTAGTAAGGGAAATTATTGCTGAACAGGGTCACAGACAGCAAAGCAAATTTTGCAGGGGTGTTAACCCTTCCCTATACTATCCAAAAAACTTAAAGCGGAGTTCCACCTAAAAA